GTGCTGCTCTCGTACATCTCACCGCTCGCCCATCGGTACAACGCATATGCGATGATGTGATCCGGCTGCAAAGGAACCCTGTAGAATGTCACCCGCCGCTGCAGAAGAGGAGACAACGCCTCCACGATCTCCATGAACACCCTGGGGGTCATCCTCAACTTTTCCTTGTAGTACTCGTCCGAGGCGTCGTCCATCTTCCGCAGATCCTCCCACGTGCCACCCGTCCTTCTCCGCATCCACCACCTTGGAGTCGCCTGCGGTATCGCCCCGGATGACATGGCGGCGCAGAACTGGGTAATGGATTCGGACATGGACACGCAGTCTGGCGCCGCCATCACGTGGTGGAGGAGCTCACGCTGCCTGCGGATAGACACTCTCGTCCTCAACCGCGCCGTCGTTCTCTCGATGCGACATCGCATGGCCATCGCCGACACCGCTGCAACCACCGCATTTCTCCTCACCCTGGTCAACGTCTTGCCACGAACCTCCTGCGACACGTGTTCCATCACGATGCCCCGACGGCACCTTGTTCAACAACCACAACAGACGGAGGACTGGACCCTCATCACACACTGTCCCAGCGGACGTTGGAGTGGACCCTCGTACACGAATGACGGGCGCGTGAAGCTATGGCGAGCCACCGGATCGTCGTCGTCTGCAGGAAGACGAAGGCGGGACACACACCACTTCACGCGCTCCAACGTCGTCACGTTTCGCGTCGCGCCGGCTGACGATCGGATGAACGAGTCGCCAACAGCGATGGGCGCTGCAAATCGTCCGCGCACATGTTTCGCACACTGGTAGCTCCAGGGGTGGTGACGCCAAGGCGCGCCTTTACCTCGGCCGACGGTTTGAAATTCGAATTTCGAAAAGGAACCTTCGTGCCTCTTTTCGCAGCGCAGCATCGCGGGCCTCCTTGCGCCGCCAGTGGACCACGCCCGACGACGGACGGACATCCCTCGGCGACGACGGACATCCTCTCCCGCGGCCTCGCATTTGCGTATGAAATTGGCCGCGGGATACCTCCAAGGTTTTTCCTTGGGACCCTTTCGTTTAGGACGCGGTGTAAAGACGCCGAATTCCTTGAAATTTTTCCAAGGACTTAGTCCTAATTCCTGAGGATTTTTCAAGGAGGGTCTAACGAGGCCCTTAGGGACAGACCCCACAGACAAGGGCTTTGGAAAAGTCTGGAAATGTTGGAAAAACAAAGATTTTGGACATTTTATATATTTTGAACGAAATTGAAACCCACTCATTTGGCCCTGAAAATGTCGTTGTTTTAGCTCTTTAGGGTCCCCCTTGGATGTACTTGAACTTCCATTAAGTCCTAGTCGACCCTCAGGAAATAAACGGCGATAGTTTTTGGGCCAAATAAGCAGGTTTCAATTTCGTTAAAAAAAATATAAAATGTCCGTTTTGACGAAATCGCTGTTGAAAGCACAAATCTTCCCTTCGAACCAGGAGACGGACCCCATTGCCACAGCAATCTTTTGGACCTTCCTAGTTCCCTCTTACTGGATGAGGTCCATCAGGAAAGCTTGTCCGAAAGGGCAAGTAGACTTCCGCTTCTACAGCACTCCATCCAATCCCAGTGCGTCCTTTCCGCACGGGATAGCTCAACGAAGAGAGTTGGGGGGGGGTTACGAGGGGGCTACTCTCTCGGGGTTGGGTTGACCCATCCCGCGCGGAAAGGAGGCACAGGGATTGGATGGAATGCCTACGTAGAAAGAGAAGGGGAAAAAGCAAAAAAAAAAAGAGAAAAAAAGGAAGAGTGGAAACAAGAATGGAACAGTTTGCCCAAATTTCCCCCATGCAGTTGAGTTTCAAAAACACTCTTCCAGAACTTCCCATGCGGCAGTGGGGTCCATCATCCCTCAGCGTAACACTGCCAGTGTAACAGTGATCTTTCTGGGTTTGCGCATGCAGGAAAAGGCGCACCTCAGCAGCGGCCTCGACCGATCTTGAACATCTTGGAAGAGATGGAGAATGGAACACTAGAGGATTTTGTGAATGGTCTGCATGGTTGGGGGTCGGTGAAGAGCCCGACAGAGGTCAAGAAGAGAGAAAGCTTGGCAGAGCTGCTCCAGGTATGTATCAGCACCTGCAGGAGTATTCTGGGTAGTTCCCCGAATTCCAATCAGGTAGTTTGTGGCCTCGTATAGTTTTTTTTTTTTTTTTTTTTTTAAATATAAGCCCCGCCTATTCTGGGGGCGTCACTCCTGTTGCTCATCCCCGGCAAGTGCTCTTCTCTTTGGCAAGCGGGTAATGCATGGAATCAAAGGCCGCCGAGGCCCTCCCACTCGGAAGTATTGTTGTTTTCTCCTAGGATAGCAGCCGGGCCGCCCAGGTAAGGTCACCCTGTTTTCGTGGGCGGCCCTGCCGTGCAAGGACCAGGGACTGTCTCTTATACACATCTAGATGTGTATAAGAGACAGGTTTTTGATTGTTCCTTGATGATTCATGATGGAGGTCGGGATTGATGATAGGCATATGATATCTCCACGAAGGGGAGGAGGAGCGGAAGAGTGTGTCGTCGTGGATGTCCATGGACTCTCCGTTGGCTGTTGCAAGACGACGCCATGTGGTAGAAAGAAAAAGAAGGACGGTCACCAAGCCCATTCTCAAGGGGACAGGAAGCCGGCGGGTGTTCCCGCCTCCTCATCATCCTCATCGCCATCCTCATCATCCTCATCATCCTCATCGCCATCCTCATCATCCTCATCATCCTCATCATCCTCATCATCCTCATCGCCATCGCCATCCTCGTCATCACCATCATCATCATCATCATCCTTATTGTTGTTGTCATCATCATCAATATCAACATCATCATCATCATCATCATCATCATCATCATCATCAGCAGCAGCAGCAGAAGCAGGAGCAGGAGCAGGAGCAGGAGCAGCTAAGACGGGTAGGGAGTCTCACTCTCCAGCGGATATCGCGGCAGAGGGAGCAAGAGCCGTTGCCCGGACAGAATGCAAACGGATTAACATCATCTCGGATGCGGTATATAAGAAAGATTGTGAATTCAATTTGGGTGTCGAGTCGTTCGAGGTCATTAAAGTTATGGAAGAGGAGGAGAACAAGAACAAGAACCACCTCCACCGTGGTCATTACCACGTGGAGCAGAAATTGGGGCCGAAATGGGACCAGGGAACGACATTGGCAAGGCAATGTCAACGAATCTCTGAATTGACATCGACGTTCCACTCGCAAGTGACTGCGATGGATGCAAGTGCCTCAGTCTCTGCTCCTCCTCCTCCTCCTCCTCCTCCTCCTCCTCCTCCTCCTCCTCCTCCTCCTGCTGCTGCTGCTGCTCCTGGTGGTGGTGGCGGTGGTGGTGGTGGTGGGAGCAGAACCACAACGACAGCTGTGCTGGGGACAGAAGGCACCCGGCAAGACGCGGGGCAGCCTGTACGGGCAACAAGCAAGCCGGTATTGCAGCTGAAGATCGACACAAGGGTGAACGAACACCATCATTGCTTCGAGTCGGCAGAGGATCTGTTCCAACTGCCCAACCCTGCATTGCTGCCGGCGGATCAGACGCGCGCACGAGACGCAAGCTGGCTCCTAGCCTCCCCGGGGCACTTCAGAAATTCCGCTTCTTCTCCATGGCAGCTACTCAGGCTCTCTCTGTTCTCAGGACAGCCGCCTCCACGCACACCCGGCCCCACTCCTCCTGCACACTTGGGAGAGGGTGGAGGCAGGCCCTTCCACGTCAGCGATGAAGGACGCCATTCTTCTTCTTCTTCTTCTTCTTCTTCTTCTTCTTCTTCTTCTTCTTCTTCTTCTTCTTCCTCTTCTTCTTCCTCTGCTTCTGCTGCTGCTGCTGCTACCAATGCTGCTGCCGCAAATGCTGCTGTAGCAGTTACTCCACCAGCTGCTGCCGTCAGATCTCTATCGTGTGAAGCAGTGGGCATCCGACGGCTCCTACGTGAGGCCCCGATGAAGTCAACAGATTACTTTGACCGACTGAATGGGCTCCATTTACGCGCCTTTTCGCTCGCTTCAGACAAAGTCGAAAGGCGTGGAAGTCCGGCGTTGGGGACTGATGTTGAGGCCTCCAAGCAGGGGGAAAAGGAGATGGCAGAGCCTGACGCGGCGATGGTGGCATGCCCAGCTGCGGCAGTCGATCACATGAGGATCTCGCCAGAGGGTGTATCGCTTTTGTCGCCGGGTGAGAGCTGCAGGCTAGGCATGCATCTGGACAGGCATGCAGCACAGGTTCCGGCAGACCAAGTTATGGCCGCCGTGGAATGGGAGGGGTCCACGGCTGATGGTGCTGAGGGGAAGGGTGCTGCAAATGCTCCCCCCTTCATTCCTCAAGAATACGATCACGTAATGGCCGCTGAAAATGAAGAAGAGGGCATTCATCCTCTGGAGGAAGATGATCATAAGGACGGAGGAGGAGGAGGAGGAGGAGGAGGAGGAGGAGGAGGAGGAGGAGGAGGAGCGCGTGATGACGGTGAGAGCGTAGAAGCATCGCCTGGAAAGCAGGAGAAGTGGCATCATGCCAAAACGGGGTTATCATATGCCAATGGAGGGGTCATGTCCCAGCGGATTACCCCTGAGAGTCAAACAGATGCAAATGAGGAAGGCAGCCATGAGAAGGGTCACGCCATCGCTGATGCTCGAACGAAAAAGGAAGAGCGGTCCGTGGAGATGGCGGTGATGGACACGATAAGGAGGAGACAGGGTCAAGCTACCTCAACATGCGAAGCCTGCGCTAAACTCACCGTGGAGAAAACAGAGAGCAAGGAGGGAGCTGTCGGAGTTAAGGAGGGTGAAGCTGGAACCCGAGTTGGCGTAATCTGTTCGTCCATGGTCTTCCCCTACGAAGAGCGGGACCACCATGACACCTTGACACCAGGGCAGCGAGGATCATGTCTGGACAGAGGTAGGTGAGGCAGGGGTCATGATCATCC